GCCCTTGTAGCAGTCCACGGTACTTTCAATATTCTACTCTAACACCACAATTCAAAGATAATCATTCTTCTGCAGTGTTCCTTGTTTAATGTCCAACTTTCACATGCGTGTGAGGCAATGGAAAATATCCTGGCTTGGGTCAGCTGCATGTTAGTCCACAAAGTAATATCCTTGCTTTTCAATACTCTACAGAGGTCTTGGGCAGTAGGATATACCTAATGCAATGCATCTTTTGATCTTGTGACTGCTATTCCATGAGCACTGATTAAGGATCCAAGCAAGACAAAATTCTTGACAACGTCAATCTTCTCTCCATTTATCTCGGACCTATTGGTGCAGTTGTGAGGGTTTTGATCTTCTTTATCATGAGCTATAATGCATACCAAAGGCTGCAATCCCTCCTCTTCATCAAGTGCCTCAAATCTTCCTCACTTTCAGCAAGCAAGCTTGTCACCTACATAGTGCAAATTGCTAATAAGCCTTCTTCCAATCCTGATGTCACATCCTTCTTCTTATAAGCCAGTTTCTCTGATGATTTGCTCAACATACAGAGGGAATAAGTATGATGAGAAGATACAACCCTGACACACACCTGTCCTGATTTTAAAACATGCGGTATTCCCTTTTCTGTTCACAAAACTGCTCCTTGAACTATATACAAGTTTCTCATGAGCAAAATAAAGTGCTCTGGAATTCCCATTCTTCTCAAGGTTATCCATAGTTTATTATGGTCCACACAGTCGAATGCCTTTGCATAGTCAATAAAACACAAGTAAACATCTTTCTAGTATTCGCTCTTTGAGCAAAGATCCACCTGACATTACCAATGACATCCCTTGTTCCATGCCCTCTTCTGAATCCAGCCTGAACTTCTGGCAGTTACTTATCAGTATACTGCTGCAATTATTGTTGGAAGATCTTCAGCAAAATTTTACTTCTATGTGTTATCAGTGATATTGTTCCATAGTTTAAAGTTTTCTGTTGGGTCACCGTTCTGTGGAATGGGTACAAATATGGATCTCTTTCGATCAGTTTGCCAAGTAGCTGTCTTCCAAATTTCTTAGCATAGACCAGTAAGTGCTTCCAGTGATTCATCAACTTGCTGAAACATTTCAACTGGTATTCCATCCATTCCTGGAACCTTGGTTTTGGCTAATGCATTTAGTGCTGCTTGAACTTCTTCATTCAACACCATTTGTTCTTGCTCATATGCTACCTCATGAAATGATGGACTGTCAACTGGTTCATTTAGGCACAGTGACTCTGTTTATTCTTTCCACCTACTTTTGATGCTTCCTGTATCACTCAATATTTTACTTAAAGAGTCTTTCAAGATTGTAACTTGAGGCTTGAATTTTTCCTTGAGTTCTTTTCCTTTCAGATATGCTTTTAGATAGGGCTTTCAAATTCTAAATCTTGGCACATGTCATTATAATATTTGGCTTTATCTTCTCGGCAAAAAACAAACAAACAAACATATCTCCACCGAAGCCATTCCTCTGTGTATGTAAGAAGCACAGAAAAATTCCAGGACCACTGGAAGAAGAGTGCATACATGGCATGAAAGGGTGGCCCAAATCTGACCTCCTCTGGCTTCCCTGTTGCCATGAGGGAACATGCCTCAGATATGCCTCTACCCTCTATCCTTCTTTACCTATTTCTGACACCAACTGTTCCTCCAAGGGCTCTCTACTTCTGTGCTTGGTTCAAAAATTCATTGCAATGGCCACACAGAACTCATAGACAATACTTTGGATTAATGGGGGTAAGGGGTTGGACTTAGGGAAGTTATTACAACTGGATTAGTAAAGAGTAAGGATATAGTCATTAATCCACAGCAAGTAGCAAACTATGATAGTCCCTTGGCCTTTGCCTCTGTGGGCCAGAAAGTCAGCTGGCTACTGTGCCTCCTGACTTAATATTCTTAGTGCTGGTCCTGTTTTCTCTTTCATATCCTCCTTGCCTCAACCTCTGATGTCTCTGGTCTCGGTCTCTGCCACATTAAACAACAAACTTACTCTACTTGTGATGGTCCTAGGGTTTCTATGTTCCTGCTTCGAAGATGGCTCGTGCTTACAGCTAAGAGAGTGGTAACTAAAACTGACCAATCCCCTTTATTTGTGTTAAACGTATCCTATTTGCATGGTCCCACCCAATAATTTGGTGGGAGATACAGAGACGTGGATAGAAGAGCCATATTAAAACATTTCACTGCACTACAAAGAGCTACCACTAGAGCACGTTCCAGATCTGTCTGAAGTGGCAGAGGCTAAGACCAGAAGCTGCAGCATTAGAGACCATAGGACAAAGCAAAGGAACCAGGCCAAGACCAGAGGCTAAAACATGAAGACCATGACACAGAACAGAGGGACAACACCAAGGCCAGGAGATTGTGAGGAAGAGCAGTGAGCTGACTTCTTGGAACACGGAGGCAGAGGCCAAGGGACCACATGTCTGAAATGCTGAGGACAAGAGAGAGACTTGACTGGTAGCTGAGGAGAGGGGCTGCTTTGGACCAATGACTGTATCCTTACTGTTTACTGATCCTGACTTGTGATAACCTGTTTAACTCCCCTAAATAAATTCTCATAATTGTGAATTTTATCAATGATTTCTGTGTGGTCATTACAACAAATTATCATACTCAGCAAAGAAGTAGAGTTCCTCTTATATCTTCCATTTTGCCTTCACTTCTATTAAATTGTTGGCTCTGCTATAAATTGCAGATCACAGACTACTAGATAAGTCACTTCTAAAATTACCTTACTGGGACTATTTTTAACCTGAAGCCATTATTTCTATAAAATCTACAAAATAATCAAATATATTTTTAGAAGTCAAAATATCCAGAAAGTGACAACTATGCACCTAGGCTGAAAGACCACTTTTTAGAAATTTATCACCTATCATTTTTATATTCCTTCTCGAAACTAAAGTGCCTTCGTGGCACCGTAGTTAAGAGGTAAGCTGTTATCCAAAATCTTAGCAGTTCAAACTCACCAGATGTCCTGCAAAAGCAGCAGCAGACTGCTTCCATAAAGATTTCAGTCCTGGAAATCCTATGGGGCAGTTTTCCTGTCCTATAACGTTGAGTTTGAATCAACTCAACAACAACAGAATATGTCTTCAAATTCCATTGGCCCTTCTTCCTCAGTACTTTATCTCATTCCTGTACATTTGAGTATTCAACACAGATTTCCTTTATTTTATGATCAGAAAGAAATGGGCTTACCTAAAAAACATTATTCATAATCTCTCCAAACTATAATTTTAAGAAAAAGTTTTCATCTAGTATTAAAGAATATGAACAAATACAAATTGACAAGAGCCAAAATAATTTATACTCATATGACTTTATGTGATGAAGGTCATTTGTCTCTTGATAACATTTTAACTGAACCTAGTAAAAGAAAAATTACACTTTATAACCTGTTCTGTTGTGTTTCTGTTATATGGATAATTAATTCTGCTTTTGCAAATAAAACTTAAGACTTAAACCCTGCTCTTCCCATAACTGATTCGAGTTAGTACATTTCATAAAGCAGTAGTAAATTTCACCAATTTCACAAGAAATATACTCCAAACACATTAAAAATAATTCCAATTAAAGGAATGATTGAGATTACTAGAATTATTTATTTAGAAATGTATCTTTTATTCAAATTTTCTACTTTTGAAACACCTATAAGCAGTTTGTATGGTAAATTTATGCTACGTGCTTGATAAATTCTAGAATGTGTCACCATTAAGGAATACAAAAAACTTAGCTCTTAAGATTAATTTCAAATAATTAACTATACATTAAGAAATATTATATTTTAGAAGCCTAAAATGAATCTTTTCCCAAATATATCTTAGGATCCCTGATTCAATTTTCCCACCTCTAGCACAACAGATTTCAACAGGAAGAGTTCCATATTTTGAACTGCACAAGTAGACAAAGTATCTGTTGCCAGAAGTAACAGTATTTCATTATAAGACTAAGCATACCTATATACAAAATTTTCAATCCAAAACTTTTGAATCTCTTAAAATCATTAAAACTCTCTAAAATCAAAACACCCAAAGTTCTCAGGGGAAAAAAGGCAGCAAGTATGATATAATAACTATTTTGAGATTTTTTTCCATCACGTTTAGGATAGAATAGAGGGAATAAATAAATATTTGATTTGTTTCTTCCAGTTCTCATCCAATAGCTATTCATAGCAACTAAAGCCAGGTTATCTATACCTGCAGTTATTTTCATGTTGGGAATAGTATTTTCCTGTTGTTCTGAGAAAAATTACCTCGGTAAACAGTATAGAAAGGTTTTCAGTTAGACAACCCTTTAAAGGCTACTGCTTTAGTCTCCCTATATTCATAAACATGGAAAGTGAGGCTCAGAGAGATTAAATTCTTGGCCTTTCACAAAGTCACACAGCAAGGTAAGAGTCAAGCAAATTCTAGAACGACGTTTCCCAATGATCTCGACTAATCTAGGTTAACTCTGAAGGTCAAAACCACTGATTTTCCTTCTCATATGGCCCCTTTGCATAGGTTTTTGGAAGTTTGCCAGCTGTATGATCAAGCCCTTTTCTAACAAGTTTGTTGTGAGAATTACATAAGGTTTGTAAAGTACTTATCACATAGACTAGAAAATAATAAGCATTTTTTAAAAGTAGCTAGTATTTTTACTCCCAACCTGGAAATATGGCTGCTCCTTTAGTTTGAAAAGACAAGGAACGGAATTCATTAACATAGTGGGTAGGGCCTGATCCTCCAGAGCGTCTCCAGCTGACTACATTCTGCAAGCTGGGGGAAACGCCACACAGTAGCCATTTTCACTCCGTCTAAACTCCCGCTAAGAAATACAAAATATCAATGTATACTGTTTGTACTCTGCTACATGGTTTTAAGTGAAATCTGTCAACTAGAACTCGCAGTGGGGAGTGGCTTATGGCTCCACCCAAAGCATGGAGAATAAATGAAGTAAAAGCAACAGGGACAATAAGGTCACACACCTGAAGTAGAATAAGTGGATAAGTGGATGGTAGAAAGCAGGATGTTTTCTTTTAGCACTGTAAAACAGGAATAATGGTTACCTCAACAAAATAAAATTTCGTAGGATTCTCAGCACAAAAGAAATTCGTTTCCTATCCCTAGTATCCATATACGTACATGGGTAACAACTGTGCATCTTTGTTGCAAAACTGAAGAGTTAATATGTAACCAAGCAATTTTTAACAGTACAACACCCTATGCTCATGTAAATATACGAAAAATGTCCATTAAATGGCAAAAAAAAACCCCGAATGAGTATAACCTGGAGCTTAAAAAGGAGGGGATCAAAACGTCATTCCGATTCTCCGTTCTCATGGCACTGCAAGCCCACCTCCCTTTTCGGATATTACAGAAATCACCCACTGCAACCAACCTCAAGCGTCAGCATCGACCAGATAGACCCCCTACTCAAATGGCTCTAAGTACCGTGGGACCAAGCCCCTCCCTGGAGCTGCCAAGTCCACGCTGACTCGTGAATACCTCACTTCCTTCACGTTTGCCCAGCCAAACTAGACCCCCGGAATTTCTCGCCAACCATCGTCACTGACAGGGAAGGTAGAAACGAAACAGACTCCCTGCATTAAGACAGGGAAAATACCAAGGCCACACATACCTGTCCCTATAATGATCACATCAAACTCCGAAGGGAGATTATTCGCCATCTTGACAGGAAACGTAACCTATGACTGCCACTGGTGGAAATGCAATCAACTTAGGCATTCTCAGTAGAAAGCGGACGGGAAATTGCATTCTGGGTATTGTAGTTCGTCATACAGGGACCCGGTAGGCTGCTACATCGAATGTTGAAAACTCGATTTCCCAGATTTTGTGCTATAGACCCTTCAAGCTGGCGGTTTGGAATAGGAAAGAAATTTGTATTCTTGTTTTGTATTTGATTTGTATTTTAATGGTTAGAATGAATGTGAAAAGACTTGGTTAACCCTTAACTGCTTTAAGGAGCCGTGGTGGCAAAGTGGACTACACATTGGGCTGCTAGCCTTGAGGTTAGCAGTTAGAAATCACAAGCAGGAGGGTGGGGAGGAAGGAGTAAAAAGAGGAGCTGATACCAAGAGTTCAAGTAGAAAGCAAATGTTTTGAGAATGATTATGGCAACAAAAGTACAAACGTGCTAACACAATGGATGTATGGATGGATTGTGATGAGTTGTATGAGCCCCCAATAAAATTAATTTAAAAAGAAAAAAAAAACTTAAAAGTCTCAGAAACCCACGTGGGAAGTTCTAACCTGTCCTATCGGGTCGCTGTATGTCAGAATTGAATCTATGGCAATGAATTTGGTTTATACATGCAGTAAAGAGCGTAGGTGGTGTAGTGGGTTACCAGTTAGGCTGCTAACCACGACTGTGTCAACACTTGGAAACTACCTGCCTGCCGTTCCAATGGAAAAAGACCTTGCTTTCTACTCCTGTAAAGAAATCCAGTCTTAGAAACTCTCGGGGCCCATTCTGCCCTGCCCTATATAAGTGGTTATGAGCTGGCATCAATGCGATGGCAGTAAAAGAGAGAGTAACACTTTGAACACAAGCATCAACTGGACTTCCCTGTAGGTGTATGGATATTAGACAGCATTGTACCTCAAGACAGATCTTGAAAGGGTCTTTCTGATGATGAATGTCATATAGTTCCTCTTGAATTTGTCATTCCAAGCTTTTCTGATTCAAAATGACGAATACCAATCCATTTCAGCTTATTAATGCTTAGGATATTGGTTTTTATGCATTCCATTTCATTTTTGATGTCTTCCAATTATTGTAGATACATACTTTGTACATTACACATTCGGATTATTAATGGATGTTTGTAGGTGTTTACTTTCATTTTGAGTCATGTCCCATCAGCAAATAATGTAGACAAAATCTTGTCTTCATCAAATAAGGTAAAACAAAATAAATAATTACATTACTGTTAATTTTGTGGTGTTCCCTACCCCACTTTGAAACCTACTCCTCTTTTTCCCTGGTGATAATCAGCATGACCCTAAGGAAAATAAAATTAGCAGCCTCTATTTAGTCTTCTTTACTCTGAAGTTATTACATGACTCACACTTTGAACATTAAAAGTCATATTTATGAAAAATTCAAGCCACTGAATGGAAAAAAATATTCAATATACCTTTTCTTTCCAATGTATATATTTTTGTAAATTTTATACAAAATATAGATAGATACAAGAGGTGGTCGTGTCAGTAAAAGAGCAGAAAGCAGTGGAATTACTGTCTATACTATTATTCTAATAAAATCTATTTTTGATAGTTTATGTATTTTATTTGGATAAGTCATATTACAATGAGATGATAGATACTGAATATTTGACTATCCTGCTAAATCAGTGTGTACTAAATCAGTGAGTTAAAAACCCATGATTCCTGGGATATCTACACTGTCTGTATTCAGAAGTTGACTTAACTGTGGGATATGACATATTTTTTTAACAACCCTGTAATTTACTGGTCTGTGTGCCTGGACTCTTCTTTGAGTGCCAAACCCTTATGTAGCCAACATGTATCCACCCCCTTATTCAGTATCTCTTCTGAACATGTCCAATAGTGGACTACATAACATTCCAACCTTCTGTCATTCCAAAGCTACTCTTTGTCTACTGTTCTATCTCTTTAAAATGATATTGCCTTCTACCCAGCTATAGCATATTATTTTAGATAAATCTGGCAAGAACTGAGAGAGAGTGATGTGTTGTAGATGACTGTTAAACATTTGACTTGAATAACTGAGTAGAAGGTAATACCAGTGGCACAAGGGAAATGGAAAGAGGTTTTATCTATTATGGAGTCCTAAGTTTCAATTTAATGATGATGGAAAATCACATTGATTAAGAGTAGGGCTGCATAGCCAATTATTGTAAGTGCTGTCAATAAAGTGCACAATGGTGAAAAGTTGAATTAGCAAAAAAAAAAAGAGAGAGAGATAAACATTTACAACAGTGATCAAAAATAAGTAGTTTCTTAGACCTCATGTGCAAACAGCATCTCATGGGATTTGGTTTTTTGGTTTAGGGGTTGAGGGTCACAGTTTCATGGGACATCCAGTTAGTTAGCCTAATTATTTTTATGTTTGTGTTACTGTTATTTAACAGTTTCACTGGCATGATTCATGTACCATACCATTCAATGGCTTAAGAATATTAAAGAGTGTGCGCTCATCACAACAATAATTTTAGAACATTTTATTCAATTTTGTATTTGTGTATATTAGCTCTCCACTTCCTCCTAAACTCCTTTGCCATCTCCCTAAATACAGTTGATCTAGTTACTATCTCTATAAATTTACCTTTGCTGTATTTCATATAAAGAAAATTATACTGAAAAATATCCAACACCAAAAGTAAAATACAGAATCTAAGGAAAAAAGCAGAAAAGAATAAATATCAGAACAAGTAAAAATGGGTCAAAAAGGGAAAATAAATGGTAAGATGTTAAATTTTAAAATAAGTATATCTGCAGTAATCTGCTCTCGAATGTACTCTAAGGAAAAGACTATTATTGGAGGCTTAATCTACATAGAGATTCTGCAAAGGGATGTAGGGCTTTCACTGTCATCCATAGCCTTCTGCAAACCAGATGCTCAGAATTTAAACTCTAATGCAATACCCTCCGCTGAGCTTGGATTGTATTATTTACAATCCTTGAATCACACAGGTTGGTGTGCTCTTTCCATGTGAACTTAACTTGCATTCACTTAGATGGATATTTCAGATAAGCCTCAAAAACCACAGACTATTCTTTCTGATAGGGCCACATCATAATAATTGTTCTTACATTAGGGCTTCTGATTAAGTTGGAGCTCAAAATACATTCATATATCTAAGATTCATAATAGTGTGTTTGTCCTTTCGCTCTAACTCCTAACTTGTTGCACAGATCCTGGAGTCTTAAAAGAATGCAAGCAGCTAGCTAAGACTCAACAATTAGTCTACTCACCTAGAGGAAGGAAGTAAAGTTGGGAATGTTGTTGTTGTCTGTCAGGTGTCATCGAGTTGCGCCTGACTCATGACAACTCAATCAATGCACAACTGAATGAAATAGTTCCCAGTCCTGCACCATCCTCACAATTATGTTTGAAGCCATTGTTCCAGCCACTATGTCAATGCATCTTGTCAAGGGCCTTTCTCTTTTTCACTGCCCCTCTACCAAGCATGAGATCCTTCTCTAGGGTCTTCTCTCTTGAAAACATGTCTAAAGTATGTGAGATAAATTCTTGCCATTCTTGCCTCTAAGGAACACTGGCAAGACAAGATTTGTTTGTTCACTTGGCAATCCATGATATTCTTCTTCAGCGCCACAATTCAAAAGCATCAATTCTTCTCATTCATCCAACTTTCACATGCATATGAGACCATGGAAAATACCATGGCATGGGTCAAGTACACCTTAGTCTTCAAAGTAACCTCCTTGCTTTTCAATATTCTAAAAAGATCTTCCGCACCAGATTTACCCAAAGCAATGTCTTTTGAACCCTTGATAGTTGTTTTCCATGAGCAATGATTATGGATCAAAGCAAGACAAAAATCCTTGAGAACTTCAATCTTTTCTCCATTTATCATGATGTCCCCTATTGGTCCAGTTATAGAGGAAAGTGGAATGTATGACAAATTCCCTCGATGACCAACTGACTCCTTTGCCATTAGACCAAAAGAATTGGATGGTGCTTACCTACCATTACTAATAATTTAGTCAAAGATTTTATAAAAGAACCCTGATCAAAAGGGGAAAATGCAGAACAGAATTACAAAATCTGGAATCCAGGTTTTCTGGAGTCTTGGAGACTGGGTAAGTCCCCAAAATGATTGTCCTAGAATAATCTTTAAACCCTTAACCAGAAATATCCCTTGAAGTCATCTTAAAACCAAACATTAATCAAAACCTCACTGCCATCAAGTCAATTCCGACTCACAGCGACCCTATAGGGCACAGTAGAACTGTCCCTTTGGGTTTCTGGGGCTTTAAATCTTTATGGAAGCAGACAGACTTATCTTTCTAGCATCGAGCATCTGGTGACTTCAAACCACTGACCTTGTCTCCTTAAACCAAATAGTTTATTTTACCTAGTAAAAAATATTTGCCTTCAGCATTTTACTCTTTTTAGATCTATCTATTTGGGGTCAAATTGACAACAGCAATGTGAAGGATTAAATATGAACCTTAGCAGACTGTGAGTTTATATTAATGAGGAGGAACAGTTCAGAAAAGAAGGGTAAGAATAGTTGCATAATTCAAATAATGCGGAAATGTCACAGAATTGTACATGTAGAAATTGTTTTATGCTTTTGCTGTATATAACCTCAACAACAAAATTAAAATAAATTAGTTTAATTATACTTATGTGAACTATAAATTTATACATATCTCCATTTGGCCTCATCTCATCATCTCCTGCAAACAAAGTGTCTTGTCTAGACCCTTCATCCATAGTAAATTCTCTCCGGGACTCTACACACTACAGCTAGAGTAAACTTCTAAATTCTTCAATGGGATCATGTCATCCTCTAAAATGGTGCATGACTTCCCATTCCTTTTAAAATCGTAAAATTATTTAAAATCTTAAACATAATCTGTATGATCCTGTCTGGTTCTCCATTTCACCTCTCATTTCTCTTTAAGGTCCAAACATATTAGCTTTGTCTCTAAA